CATTGTTTGCAGATGACGTGGTACTCTACATAGAAGACCCCCTAAACTCCATTGAAAGACTCTTAGATACAATAAATAAATTCAGTAATGTGGCTGGATACAAAATCAATACTCAGAAATCAATAGCATTCCTATACACGAACAACAAAATCACAGAGAGGGAAATAAGAGAAACTGGACTATTCACATTAGCAAGCAAAAAAATGAAATATTTAGGAATTACTCTTACGAAAGAAGTGAAAGACTTATACAGTGAAAATTATAATACACTGAAAAAGGAAATTGAGGATGATCTCAGAAAATGGAAAGACATCCCTTGCTCATGGATAGGAAGAACAAACATTGTGAAAATGGCCATTCTCCCAAAACTGTTATACAGATTCAATGCAATCCCAATAGAAATACCATCAACATACCTTATAGATCTAGAGAAATCACTCCTAAGTTTCATCTGGAACCAGAAGAGACCTAGAATCGCAAAGGCAATTCTAAGCAGCAAAGACAAAGCAGGAGGCATCACAATCCCTGACTTGAAGTTATACTACAAAGCAACAGTAGTAAAATCAACATGGTATTGGAATCAAAATAAAGCCGCAAATGAATGGAATAGATTAGAAGATACAACCACAACTACAAACACACTCAACCACCTTATCTTTGATAAAGGAGCAAAGCAGGTTCACTGGAAGAACGACAGTCTCTTTAATAAATGGTGCTGGAAAAACTGGCTCTCCATTTGCCGAAAACTAAAGCTAGACCCATGCCTATCACCATGTACTAAATTAAAATCTAAATGGGTCAAAAATCTGAATATTAAAACAGAAACATAAATCTATTGGAAGACAAATTGGGTAGAAACCTTGGAGACATAGGAGTAGGTAGAGAATTCATGAACAGGACTCAAACCGCACAGGAAATACTTCCCAGAATCAATAACTGGGACCACTTCTTATTAAAAAGTTTCTGCATGTCAAAAGAAATCTCTAACATAGTGAAAAGAAAACCCACAAACTGGGAAAAGATTTTAGTTAACTCTCTCTCAGACAAGGGACTCTTGTCTAAAACATATAAAGAATTAAAAATCTCAGACCTCCAAAATTCAAAGATCCAATCCAAAAATGGGCATCTGAGATGAATACGCACTTCTCAGATGAAGAAATGCAAATGGCAGATAAATACATGAAAAAATGCTCATCATCATTGATCATTAGAGAAATGCAAATTAAAACCACACTGAGATACCATCTCACTCCTGAAAGAATGGCCAGGATCAAGAAAACCAACAACAACAAATGCTGGAGAGGCTGTGGGGAAAAAGGAACTCTCCTGCACTGTTGGTGGGAGTGTAGACTGGTATAGCCTTTGTGGAGGACTGTCTGGAGATTTCTCAAAAAGTTGGGATTGGAAATCCCATTTATTCCAGCTATTCCACTTCTAGGCGTATTCCCAGAAGAACTGAAAGCATCATACCACAGTAATATATGTGCACCTATGTTTATAGCAGCACAATTTGTAATTGTCAGATCGTGGAAACAACCCAAGTGTCCATCAACTGAGGAATGAATAAAAAAGTTGTGGTATTTCTATACAATGGAGTATTATTCAGCTATAAAGAAGGATCACATTGAGATATTTATCAATAAATGGGCGCAGCTTGAGACCGTACTCATAAGTGAAATAAATCAATCTCGCATGTGTGAATACCGAATAGTTTTCCTAATGTAAGTAATGATTCAAATATATAAAAATATGTGGTAATCATGATTCCCCATTATGTGGCCTTGAAGCCTTATAAAGTTTTCACTTATTAATTAGAAAGGCTTTATTCTGGGCTTCTTGATATGCAAATAGTTGAAGCTATATGCGGGCAATTCTAAGCAGCAAAGACAAAGCAGGAGGCATCACAATCCCTGACTTGAAGTTATACTACAAAGCAACAGTAGTAAAATCAACATGGTATTGGAATCAAAATAAAGCCGCAAATGAATGGAATAGATTAGAAGATACAACCACAACTACGAACACACTCAACCACCTTATTTTTGATAAAGGAGCCAAGCAGGTTCACTGGAAGAACGACAGTCTCTTAAATAAATGGTGCTGGAAAAACTGGCTCTCCATTTGCCGAAAACTAAAGCTAGACCCATGTCTATCACCATGTACTAAATTAAAATGTAAATGGGTCAAAGATCTGAATATTAAAACAGAAACACTAAATCTATTGGAAGACAAAATAGGTAGAAACCTTGGAGACATAGGAGTAGGTAAAGGATTCATGAACAGGACTCAAACCGCACGGGAAATACTTCCCAGAATCAATAACTGGGACCACTTCTTATTAAAAAGTTTCTGCATGTCAAAAGAAATCTCCAGCATAGTGAAAAGAAAACCCACAAACTGGGAAAAGATTTTAGTGAACTCTCTCTCAGACAAGGGCCTCTTGTCTAAAACATACAAAGAATTAAAGAAACTCAGACCTCCGAAATTCAAAGATCCAATCCAAAAATGGGCATCTGAGATGAATATGCAATTCTCAGATGAAGAAATGCAAATGGCAAATAAATACATGAAAAAATGCTCATCATCATTGGTCATTAGAGAAATGCAAATTAAAACCACACTGAGATACCATCTCACTCCTGAAAGAATGGCCAGGATCAAGAAAACCGACAACAAATGCTGGAGAGGCTGTGGGGAAAAAGGAACTCTCCTGCACTGCTGGTGGGAGTGTAGACTGGTACAGCCTTTGTGGAGATCTGTCTGGAGATTTCTCAAAACGTTGGGACTGGAAATCCCATTTATTCCAGCTATTCCACTTCTAGGCATATTCCCAGAAGAACTGAAAGCATCATACCACAGTGATATATGTGCACCTATGTTTATAGCAGCACAATTTGTAATCGCCAGATCTTGGAAACAACCCAAGTGCCCATCAACTGAGGAATGGATAAAAAAGTTGTGGTATTTCTATACAATGGAGTATTATTCAGCTATAAAGAAGGATCACATTGAGATATTTATCAATAAATGGGCGCAGCTTGAGACCATACTCATTAGTGAAATAAATCAATCTCGCATGTGTGAATACCGAATAGTTTCCCTAATGTAAATAATGATTCAAATATATAAAAATATGTGGTAATCATGATTCCCCATTAGGTGGCCTTGAAGCCTTACAAAGTTTTCACTCATTAATTAGAAAGGCTTTATTCTGGGCTTCTTGATATGAAAATATTTGAAGCTAGAGTATATGTAGTTTTACCCAAATATTTCAAGGAAAAAGACACTATGGTAACTACTATTAAGTCAGGTTATAAGGTGGTGAAGTACTAGGTTATTGAAACAGTCATGCTGTGACCTCTATTGTTATATTGTTATGTCCTGTTTTATCTCAATCTCTCCCTTATTGTTTCAAAAAAAATTATTTAGTCATTTCTTATGTTTGTCTTAATTAAAGAAAAAATTCAAAAAAATTAGGATATATAAATAGTAACTCTTTTCGATTTCCTATTAACTTGTTTTGAAGTCCTGTAGTACTCCCACGATCTTGTTTTGACTGATTAGACTCTGTTCCATTCTATATGATAGTATCAAGTTTGAAGACATAAGCAACTACTTTGAAGACAATAAGATTCACTAAGATACCCATTCTGGTTTGAGTATTGTCTTCTTTGGAAGTCCTGTAATGTTTACAATGCCTAAGTTTTATTGGTCTTGTTCTCTACTGTTTTGTCCAACTTTATAATATCTAATAAGATAGACAATTCTTTTTAAGGAAACAAGGGACAACGTTGATAACCATTGTTGATAAACTTGTACTCTGTTCTACACCATGTGCTATGTCTATCCTTGGTATTGACTGACAGCTTCGTTTTGCCATATTTGACTGTATTCTCCCCCCCCCCCCCAAAGAAAGTAATAAGCACTAAGGAGTAATAAAATCCAAGATGTGTAAATTTTGTTGTAAAAAAGAGAGGGAAAAAAAAAAGAAAAAGAGCTCTAACGGATATAACAGCAAGTGTGTTTGGGGGTGTTAAATAGCTGACTTTATCAATGTTTTTGGAACATTGAACACAGCTGTTTGCAGTCTCCCTGTTTGAATGTCCACCTTGTGTTCTTTGATACTGTGATTTGAGGAACTATTTTCAAGAAAATAGTGTGTAATCTACTAGCAGGTAATTTCTTACTGTTATGGTTTTTTGTTTTGTTTTGTTTTGTTTTGTAGTTCTGTATTGCGTGTACCCTTACGCCGCTTTGGTTTGTTTTGTGTTTTTCTCTTTTTCCTCTTAAATAAAAAAAAAGAATATATTTGGCTTATATATTAAAATAAGAATATAAGAATATATATTAATGTAAGAATATATTAATATAAGAATATATTTGGGCTTCTCAAGTGATTATTCACTGAGTATGTCTTTAAAGATTGACTCACACAGGACAGCTGTAGATAGATAGATACTTTACTGTTCTATAAAATTAGAGAAATATAAAGGGCAGTATTGACTAGGAAATACTATAAATATAATATATATTTATATATAATATAAATAGACTCCTTGTCTTGGAGTCTACAAAACCAAATTAAAACCTGGGAGTGATGATGCAGACCTGGAATCCAGGCATTATTGGGGGCTTGAGACAAAATTGTCACAAGTTGAGAGCAGTCTGGGCAATGACGTGATTATTTAAGTTTAAAAGGAGTGGTGCTGTAGCTAAGTGTTAAGGTCTTGAATTCAAGAATCAGGTCTAAAACTTGGCAGAAAATTGTTTTATGAAAAAAGCCAAGAACACAAAAGAAAAGAACACAGTTTTCCTCAAGTACTTCTCTGAAATTCTCTGAATGGTTCAGTTAATGGAGCAGAAATAATGAACAACTAATAATAATTTGAATTTCTCAATATATATGGAGAAGTGTGAAGTGTCATGATGATCAGTATGCCACAATGCAGAAAAACTACTGCCTCCTAAGATATATGACTTTCCTGGCTCATGAAGACACCATGGGGAAGACATTGGCTGCCACCACCTGGAGTCTCATTATTATGATAGCTGCTATTCTTGCTCTCTTTGTGAAGCATAGAAACACTCCCATTGTGAAGGCCAGTTATTGGGCTCTGAGCTACATCCTGCTCATATGCCTCACCTTCTGTTTACTCTGCACCTTAATCTTCATTGGCCATCCCTACACAGCCACCTATATATTCCAGCAGACCACATTTGGATTTGTGTTCACTGTAGCTCTTTCTATTGTCTCAGCCGAGTATCACTGTTTCTGGCCTTCAAGTCACTGTTCCAGGCAGAATGATGAGGTAATTGGTGGTATCGGGGGAAGCAATTTCCACCATCCCCATCTGCCCCCTGATCCAACTCACTCTTTGTGGCTTCTGGATGGAGACAAATCCACCCTACATTGACACAGACACAGACTCTAAACATGGCCACATCATCATCTTGTGCAACAAGGGCTCCCTCAATGCCTTCTACTGTGTCCTGGAATACCTGGGCTCCTTGGGCCCCGTCAGCTTCATGATGGCTTTCCTGGCCAGGACCCTGCTTGACACACTCAATGAAGCCAAGTTTCTGACATTCAACATGTTGGTGTTCTGCAGTATATGTGTCACCTTTTTCCTGTGTACCACAGGAGCAAGGGGAAAGTGATGGTGGCCATGGAGGTCTTCTCCATCTGGCCTCTGGTGCAGGGTTGCTGGGCTGCATTTTTGTGCCTATGTGCTACATTGTTTCATTAAGACCAGGTAGGAATTCTCTGCATGGATTCAGAGATAAAAGGCATTCTGGTATAAAATAAACCTTCCTAGTTTAAAAAAATCATTTCTAAAATATATAGTGGTTTCATGTTAAATTTGAATTTTTTGGTAGTTCTTAGATGAAACCATCACTAAACATCTAGCTCTTACTTTTTTCTATAATAGTATTAATGTTACCAACAACTGTAAAAATCACCATTTCATTTTGTATATTCTTCAAATTTCTTGTTCTATAAATTTTTCAATAAATCTTTTTATTGGTGGTTAAGGTTGAGTGTAGTACTTAATTTTATTTTGAATTGCACTTCTTTTCAATCATTTTTACTATGGTAACTTCTTTTTCAGATCACTAAATTTCTTTTTTTTTTCTAATGTATCTCATTGTGTTTTTCTTTTTTTCTCTTCAATCATTAGCTAGCCTTAAACATGCTGATTCAGCTTTATTTTTGATATCTGGGTTTGTAGATCCTTTTTTGCACTTGGCTGAAAATATTTATGATATCAAATACTCTTGCATCTAAGATGGCACCAATTTAAGTTATGTATTAAATTCATGAAAATTCTGTGGAGCAATACAATGAATTTTCATAGCAGCCCTTGTCTTTTTTAATATTTGTATTATTTAAATTACATTTTCCAATGTGAGACTTGTGTCAACATGTCTTTCTCTTGATTTGTATTTAATACATACAAATTATTATACACAATGTTTTCTCCTTATATTCATTCTTCTTGAGTTCTTAAGAAATTTTTTAATGCAGAAAGAAATAATATTTTCTACCATATATTAATTTACTCAATATTTTCTAAGAGACCATTATTTGTTGAATCAATTGACCAAAATTTTGGCTGCATATTTGCATTTTTTAATTCCTTGTGTTTTTAATTCACTTGACCTTGTGATCATCATTTGCCTTCTTTTTTAAAAATTTTATTTAAAAGGAAAATAGAAAAAACACAAAACAGTGTAAGGGCACAAGTAATACAGAACTACAAAAAACAAAACAGTAAGAAATCACCAGTTAATAGATTATACTTTATTATCTTAGAGATAGTTGCTCCAGTCACAGGATCAAAGCATACTAAGTGGACAATCAAACAGTGAGACTGCAAACAGTTGTGTTCAATGATCTAATCAAAATATTAACATAGTCATCTATCTTAACACACCTAAACACACTTGCAGTTGTATCCTTTAGAGCACTTTTTTCCCTCTCTTTTTTACAACAAAATGTACACATTTGGGGTTTTATTACTCCCATAGTTCTTATTAAGTTTTGGAAGAGAATGAAACCAAATATGACAAAACAAAGTTGTCAGTCAAAACAAAGGATAGACATACCACATGAGGTAAAAACAGAGTACAAGGTTATCAACAATGGTTACCATAATGCCTCTTCCTTTCTTAAAAAGAATTGCTTATATCATTAGGTATTATAAAGTTGAGCAAAACAGTACAGAACAAGACCAATAAAACCTAAACATTGTAAACATTAAAGGACTTCAAAATAAGATAATAGTCAAACCAGAATGGGCATCAAAGTGAATCTTATTGCCTTCAAAGTAGTTGCCTATAACCTGAGACTTGATACTATCAAACAGAATGGAACAGAGTCTAATCAGTCAAAACAAGATAGTCATCATTTGTCTCCTATACTCTTGTGTTTTTCACTTTCTTCTGGATTTTCATTACATGGCTAATGCTGTGCTTTTTTTAAATAAAGATGACCCAAAGAGCCTTGCAAAATCTGCAGAATTTTAATTAATTCCTGGTGAACCTATTTCATGCTTAGTAATACATTTATTTAGCAATTAAAATTTTAGAAATTTTATAAATAATGCATCTTTGATTATCAGTAAGTGAAAATTTAATTGTTCTTGGTGTGCTCTGTTCATAGTATTCTTTCCAAAGACAACTTTGAGCATATTTGAATTTAGTGTCTGCATATATTTTCAATGAATTGATGAAGGGTGTTTCTTTGTAGTTCCATTCCTGTTGGAATTTTCATTAGCATACACAGTTAAAATCATTTCCAAAATGATAGGAAGAACTAACTGGATGAGAGCATTGATGGATTAGTGAGTGGAAAGGTGTAGGGAAGAGAAAGTGTGAGACAATGTCATCAAAAATTAACTGATAATAAATATTGGCGAGGCTGTGGGGACAAAGGAATGCTTCTGCACTGTTGGTGGTAGTGTAGCCTTATGCAGCCAGTATGGAAATCAATATGGAGATTCCTCAAAAACCAGGATTAGAAGTTCCATTCAACCCAGCTATTTCTCTCCTGGGTATTTTCCCCAAATAATTGAAAATATCAGGCCATAGTAATGTATGCGCACTCATGTTCATAGCAGCACAATTTGTAATAGCTAAATCTTGGAAACAACCTAAATGCTCATCAACTGCTGAATGGATGAAAAAGATTTGGTATTTTTATATAATGCAGTATTACTCAGATATAAAAAGAATGATCTTGAGGCCTTTAGCAGTAAACGGAGGTTACTTGAGACTATCCTCTTATGTAAAATAAGTAAAACTCACTTGTAAATATCACATTGTCCCTCTAGTGTAAAAATATTAAAAACTAAAAGAATAATAGGATCCAAAATATATAATAGATTCATATAAATCAAAGCAAAGGAAACTGCTCTAAAGGATATAACTCTATGTATGTTTAAGTGTGTAAGATAGATGACTATATTAGTAAGTTTATTAGAACATTGGAAAGAATGGTTTGCACTGTCAATGTTTGACTGTCAGTCCACATTTTTTCTTTTATTTTATAATATGAAAAACTAGTTCCAAGAGGATAATATATAACTTATCAACCAGTGATTTCTTAGTATTAATATTTCTTTGAAAATTATGTATTATTTCTATCCTTTTTTTCTGTTTTGTCTTTTTTTTCTTTAAATAAAAATAAGATTAAAAATTGGAGTAGTCCATCAATAAGTGAATAGAAAAATGGACAAAAGGTAAATAGGCAAATGGAGAATTTTAATGTTTATTATAATTTTTTAAAAGTTCACTTGTAGTCTCTCTAATTTTAGTTCATTTGCCATTATATACATTTCCTCTTTTGCCTACATGTGCTAAAGTATAGTTGCCCTTGTTGCTTGCTAAATCCTGCCAAGGCCTCACCCTATGTACTGGTCATACTGATTCATTTGTGGAAAATAAACTTCATCTTACCCAGAATTTTATCATATAATCTTTTACTCATTTATGTTTTCTCTTTGTCAAATGTAAGCACAATCTTTGCATTAACTTAAATATTTAATTGTATTTTTCACAGTGCATCTTGTCTCAGGAGGAAAATTCTTCAGTATATGTTTAATTTGACAAATTTTAAGAAGTTGACTGTGTATTAATCAGTATTCAACAGAGAGTTCTGGGGAATCTTGCTAGCATAGTTTTGTGAGTACATCTTGGCCATATTAGATTCTGATAAAGAAAAGAAACTTCTTCACCTATTGGCAATAGATGTTATTTTCAGAAACAATCTAGGGATATTCATTCTGGGGAGTTTACTGTGAAGAACTCATTTACATGCACTTTCCTCTGCCTGAGTCAAAGCAGGCAGAGTGAGGATAAAAAACTAAAGTCCAGTCTTAAATAATTCTAAACACATCAGTTACAATTTCCCAAAGAATCCTTGGAGACTGACCTCTGAAAAGTCAATGCACATATTCTTTTAGACTGTTCAGAAAAACAGAGGAAACTCTTCTCCTTCACCCCCCAAATTTATGCTTTTTCTCCTGTTGCATATAAACAACATGTTCATCTGCGCATAGTCATGCAGACTGCAGGCACACCTGTTGTGATGTGGGAGGGTGGGAACATGTATCAGAGACTAGCAGAGACATCAAAGCAAGATTTTCTCTCGAAACAACTGAAAGAAAACAACAAAAAACAGAGCAGAGCTAGAAGTACAGTTCAGTGGTAAAGTTCCTTTGAGCCTTAACATTCCTACCTCTACCTATATTCATTTACAGAAGTGAAAATCTTTGTTGTATATTTTTTTTCATTACTCTTCATTCTTTCTTCCTGACATCAAATACAAGGATACACTGATATATGGGTTAGTAGACAATTTTCTCCTAATTGAAGTAATCTCTTTCCATTTAAAAATTTCATTTATATGTGGTTGGATATAAAAACACTTTTCCCCTCGCTCCTTCTAACAGCTCAGAGCCTCACATACTCCATAGTTTCTCAGTGACAATTAGCATTAGTCATTTCACCTTTTTGGGAGCCACCAAAGCTGTAAATTGGCCCCACCTGCACAGGCTGACTACCCAGGTCCAAGCACAAAGAACACCTGGGTTTGTTGCAAGAAGAAATCAATCTAATCCTCAAAATTAGCTAAGGAAGTAGTGGAGGGGGACAAAGGGACCATTCCTCACTAGAGAAATGATTAACTTTAACTGAATCACAAGCAGCAACTTCTACAGTTTCAGCTCAGAGAAATTTTGCGTGTCGTAAGTTGAAACTCACACTTACTTTTTCTTTCCCTTGCAATTGGTGCTAAAGAAGCCAGATGGGCAGGGGAGTACATGGAGGATTTTCAACGTATCTATCCTATTACTGAGATTTTTGTCCCCAGTAATCCAAGACAAGGTTTGATCACTCAGGTCATTAATCAAAATTCTGAAGTAAAAGGATAAAAGGTTATTTGTTTCAGCAGCAAAACAAGGGACCTTTTCCCTGAGATTGCTCTGCTGCATCTGTAAGGGTAGCACAGCCATTGTCTCACCCTTCAACAAAACTTCTACTCTCTGTTCAAAGTTTAGATGTGGAAATCATTATGCTACCTGGTGTAGATTCA